AAATAATTTTCATGGTCAAAGTACTGGAGTTGCCATCATCAAAATACTAAAATTGCCATGATCTACAAACTAAAATTGCCACATGGCAACTTTTGTTTAAGCCCTATGGCAACTGCAGTGTAAACATCATGGCAACTTCTGGGCAAAAAAATTCGTCGAAACATATCAACATGGGGTCTAGTTTTGAAGATCTCGTCGAGACGGATTTAATGGTGAAAACGGATTTTTAGTTCGCTTTTTTATTTAGGAGATACAACATTTTTAAGCCGAAAACCAAAAAAAATTCTGCTGATGTCATCTATTCATACGTGGCAAAATGAGTGGTGATGAAGGCGTGTGGACGATGTGCAAACGCCCACACGTGTGGGCGTTAACATTTTCGTTTTTTTTGTGTGGATTAGAACAAAAAGACATGTCAACAGGCATTTTTAATAGGTATAATACGTGCTGTTGCGAACTGAAAAAGGATATATTGTATAGGTGCCAGCAACGATGGAATCGGTGGTTCCGACTAAACATCCCGATGTGAGAAACAGCCCGCTATATAAGTACAGGCATTTTGACTTGGTCTTCTACTTTTTTTTCTTTTTGAGTGTCGTCTCCTACATTCAGAGAGTACCACTTGGGCACTTCCTTTTCTTTTCGACCAAGTGCACTTGTTGTTCTATGCACCTAGACCTAGTGGACTTATATTTTTAGTAACCATTGCAAGTTGCAGCTAACAGAAAAAAAAATAGAATTTGCCAACTGAAACTACTTGGTAGTTCTAAATTCTAACCAGCCAGGTCAAAGAAAAAAATGTCTAGCCCACGTACTCCTACGTATGTATATCCGCTCCTCGATTGTAGACTTCCGTGGCAAATCACAGGAGGCTGGAGCGCAGCACCACATCTGATCCAAGTTCCCATCAATCTCAACCGGGCGCCCGCATTCACCAATCAATGGCTTCCAACGTCGACCTCGCGGACCGCTTCGATGTCTCTGGGCCAACGCACATCATGTCTCGATCCGGCGCCGGCCGTTCTTCTCCAATGATGATCGACTGGTATGTTTTCATGCGTCCATATATTGGTGCGGAAGAAGGTGTGTGCGTATTTGCCTTGCGGCAACTGATCTGTAGTTCTGTATACAATTGATTGTGTGACAGGAACGACGAGGAGGATCGTCGGTGCGTGGCCGCCTGCGTCGTGAAGGGCACCTACATCCTCGAGAACGACAGAACCATGTGCAGGGTGCACGCGGAGGCGCTGGCTCCGCCGTGGTGGGAGAGCTTCCACTTCCGCCTCAGCGCCGTGCTCACGGAGGAATCCTTCAGGCGCAAGTGCGACAAGCTCATCTTCGGCGCCATCTATGAGCACGTCCCCGTGGCGGGCGGACGCCGCAACCCTTGTGCTCCGCAGTACATCGTGGCCTTCCGAGGGACTATGCTGCCGCATCCCAAGGCGATACACGACCTGTTCCTCGACTTCAAGATCATGGCCAACACGCTCTCGGACTCCAAGCGCTCCGAGCTCGCGCACCGGGCGGTGGACACGCTCCTCGCCACCATCGCCAGGGGCAAAGCCGGCTCCCAAGGCAGCGGCGTCATGTGGCTCGCGGGGCACTCTCTCGGCGCGTCGCTGGCGCTGGAGGTGGGGCGGACCATGATGGCGGAGCAGGGCCGCAGCCTCCCGACCTTCCTCTTCAACCCGCCGCACGTGTCGACCATTCCGGCGATCAACGTGATGCTCCCGTCGGAGGGGGTGAGGAGGGAACTGCTCGCCAAGAGCAACCTCGTCAAGGCCGGGCTCGGGCTGGTTCTCAGCCCGCATCGGAAGCGCATGGAGAGGTTGTTTGAGCGGCTGTCCCCGTGGGCGCCAAACCTGTACGTGCACGAGAGGGACGTCATCTGCCAGGGCTTCATCGGCTACTTCGAGCAGCGGCAGCAGCTGGAGGAGCGCTGCCGTGGCGCCAAGTCGGCCACCACGCTGTCGTACCGCGACATGCTCTTCTCCGCGCTCGGCAAGGAGAAAGAGCGGCCGCACCTCCTGCCATCCGCGACGCTCTGGAAGAACTCGAGCATGGACAGAAACGCCAACTTAGTCCAGCAGTCGTTGGCCGCACACGAGCTCCAGCAGTGGTGGAAACCGGACGCCGACCTCAGGCTGAGCGACAGACGTTATAGCTTCGCTTGACCATATAGTTCATGCTCGAGTATATCATTATATCAATTTCAGGCTACAGTGTATCTTCATCCTACATTATTTTTCGGATGTTGCCCGTTCTCGGTCAACTGAGACTTAACCAAGTCTCAGTCAAATGATATGGTATATAAGAAAAAAGAAATAAAAAAAATTGTTTACACGAATCTTCATGCAAAATTAAACGAAGATGGAATCGATTGAGACCTAACGAAGTCTCAGTCGACTGAGACGAAGATAGTATCGATTGATGTTATTCGTATCAGACCCAGGGGATACCTCTCTGGAGTTGGATAAGGTTGACATTTGAGTCAGCCCGATCTCGTGACGAGATTGTGTCCTTCGCTTGATGATTGTTTCTTCTCCCTAGGATCCAACTTCTGCTCTGCAGGGATTCTTTGACTACAAGGTGGGCATGTTCTTGCTCTTTTGAATACTCCCCCCTCCCAAAATAAGTGCCTCAACTTTGTACTAGTTCTAGTACAAATTTGTACTAAGCTCAAGACACTTATTTTGGGACGGAGGGAGTATGTGCTTATTTTTTTATTGATGTTTGTAGTTGTTTTATTAGCACCATGTACCTGGTCATGTGTTTGGAGCTTTGTTAATTTGAAGCCAAGCATTTATGCATTTTGCCTATGAAAAATATGTGTAGCGATATTGCCTCCTTCACCTTTCGCAATGATGATGTCGGGAATAGAAACCCTAGAGAAATCATGACTAATCTCCTTTTCTTATTGGCACAACATATTGGTTAAAAATGACGGCAACAACGAAACCTCTAATGAAAATGATGGTAGACATAGTGGTCACTAGTCGGCCCTGAAGAGGATCTTTGTGCGAGAGGTGGAGATGCATGTTAATCATTTGTTATTGATGGTGATGAACTGATTATTATTGCATGCCACAGTTTGATGATGAATATGACCGAAACATGAGAAAAAAATTACCCTACTCCAGTTTTTATGTCCGATTTTTTTTAAAAAGGAGGATAACCTCCAGCCTCTGCATCGAGCGATGCATACAGCCATCTTTATTATATTATTCAACAAAGTCTTACAAAATAAATACATTAATCGACCCAAAGCCACTTTTTCTGGCGACCACTGTCGCCCTACCTACAAAGTTGATGATGTGTTCTGACCTCTTGCCAACACACACAATGAGAACCGGTGGCCTCACCAGCCTGCCCGCCAGCTAGCCAGGAGCACCAACCGGTGAAGCAAACCCTCAGCGCGTACCGCCTGCGCACGCTCTAGAATCTGTCGTCGCCATCTATCATTGTCCCATCTTCAGGCGTGATCCATGCATTGATCTTGCCAGACCCTTCCGCCGTTGACACCACCACGGCGTCAGACAGCGTCAACCTCCTGCGCCCGCCCATGAAATGGTGTCTAGCAACAAGACCACGCTGCACCATGCTGCCCAGACTCGCCATCGTCAATATCGTAAATGGCATGCCGCTCCACCTTGGTCACCGCACTAGACACACGGAGACCTGCGCCCAGCTACCGAAGCCAAACACTTGTCCCTCCAGTCGATGTATGGCTCCAAAGATGATGACCCCATGGGGGTGACGAAGCAGGAACATCGCCATCCTCCGATCTGCAAAACTCAGATCTGAGGTTTCCCCTGGAGCAAGGTAACGACGCCCACGGGCGCCGTCGTCGAGGGTTTCGGCGAAGCCCGAAACAAAGCTTTCACTGGCATACTCACATCCATCACCGTCGGGACCACCTAATCCATCTCCACGGTCTTCAGCCACACCCCATGGAAACGTCGCCGCCGTACCACCGGGATGAACCGTTGATCACGGAAGAATCGACATCGTTGCGTGGCCGATGCCAGGCCACCCACACGTCAGATCGGGACACCCGTGCGAAGATCCACCGCGCCCGAGCCCCAGAACCACGGTAGATGAAGCGAGCACGACCGCCGGCCGACCCCACCTCGACTCCGAGTCCGCACTGACCGGATCTGGGAAGAAGTCCCAGATCCAACCCCCGTCCCACAACGCCGCCGCCAGGAAGCCGAACAGGCCGATCCATGAACGCGGACGCGCGCGAGGCAGGGATCAACACCGAGGGAGCCGAGGGGCGTGACGAAACGCGATCTGCCGGCCCAGATCACGGAGACGTCGTGCAGCAGAACCCCCGCCACCGCCATCAGCCACGGGGGCTTTGCCCGCCGGCATCCTCTGGCGTCAGCGCGAGGAAGGGAGGGTGTAGGAGGAAACGGCGGCGGCGCTAGTTAGGTCACCCCCGGGTCGCCTAGGCGGAGCGACGCGGGGGTCACCGAGCACTACGTACGTGCATTCAAAAATCGGTCCAGTTTTTATGCCCGTGATATGAAGTTTTGGCGCCCAAATATTGATGATCCACCAAAATTTATAAACGACGGTTCATTCATGTTGATTTGTTCTTTTAACTGAGAATGAAATAGAACATGGAGGCATTTTGTGAAAAGAAGGGAATGCCTTGCCTTGCATCGATTAATACATTCAGCATCTTTCCAGAGTTTTAAATTCCGGATATAGTCATACGTCTATAATGAACAAAGCTATGACAACCAAAATGCAATAAGATTGAACCTAAATAAAAGGGCAGCGTGAACACACATCGAAAGTGGAACAACAATCAAGGCGCAGAAAAACCGTGATCACCTATTTGCCTGCAGGTGCTTGGTGCTCCAACTAGTTGCAGCCCCCTTGCAGGAAAGAGCACCAACACCAAAAAGGAATAAGATAAAAAAGAAGAGGAAAGATGAAAAGTGCTTTTCAATCTGGAACAAGTCTGGATGACATGCGGGCCATGGGTTTGATCACCATCCTTTGCCTATGAGCCACAGCCAGTCAAGGACAGCGCCTAAACATATGCCTGCCAAGAGGCAAAACACGAGCAGGTTTCCGAGAGCATTCTGTTCTGGCCCCTGGACAAAAGGCACGAAGGTAACTCAGTACTCCCTCCGTCCGGAAATACTTGTCATCAAAATGGATAAAAAAAGATGTATCTAGATGCTTCTAGATACATCTCTTTTTATCCATTTTGATGACAAGTATTTTCAGACGGAGGGAGTAGTAGCTAAGCTAACGCGTTCAGTGTGGAATGATTGTGCAACACGAGCTAAGCTAACCTTGTAGGGTCTGGGCGCCTCGGTCAGGACGCAGACCGTCAGGTACCCGTTGGTGAGTCCCAGAGCCGATACGAGGACGATCATCCAGGCCTCCCCTCCGTACCTGGCGGCGCAGTAGAACGCCGGGAGGAGCAGGTACCGGGCGAGCACCGCGGCCAGCAGTCCTCTCCGAGACGTCACCTTGATGCCCTCCACCAGAGGCACGTATCTCCCGATCAGGTCCGAGCCGTTGTAGGTCGCGATCAGCACCAGCGCATACCTACGAGCATTGTCATTCCATCCTTCGTGTAGTAGTAAGCAAAATCTGGATGCATGCTAAAATGGGATGGTGGCAAAATTACCAGGAGCCCAGACTGTGTGATCCGAGGTCTTCGGCGAGAAACCCTGGGAAGATGGACAGCGTCAGCAGGTAGATGAGGAACATGTCCAAGGCGTAGTCAATGTTCTGCATCAGGAGCTGCCTGTTGCTCAAACGTTCAGGGATGGCTGGGCCGTCTTCAGCCTGGAACGTACGTATGGATCTTTCATTTGCCGTCTGCCGGGAACTAGATTACGGTTTTCAACTGGCGTTGAGGGGGGTACCGATGGTTTTGGGTGTCTTTGGAGGCCGGCGGCAGCAAGGTCGGCGGCGACCGTCAGAGATCCCTCGGAAGCCGCCTTTGCACGGTAGAACTTCACTATTGGCAGCTTGGGGAAGACGTGGGCGTACAGCACGACGCACAGCAGCTCGAAGAAGCATGACGCAGCGAAGAACAACACTGCAATATATAGATATGAGCATGAATAAGCAGAAACTAGGAACGAATTGGAGGTTTGATTTGGTGCATACTAGCTCCCCTGCGAAGGCCGTCTCTGGATTTCTCGAAGGCCGCTTTTGTAACGAGCCTCAGGGCCGACGTTATTGCGCCCGATGCAGCCATGCCAGCAGAAAATGACTGGATTCAAACAAGTCATATCAATTTACTGTCTCCTAAGTATTTCTCAAAGAAAAGAAATGTCTCTTGCAAAGAAACAAACTCGTTAACTGTATGTCTGGCACAAGAAATTTCACCTGTATGAACTCCGGGCACATCAAGGACAGGTCCCCGGTCATGGCACCTTCGACGTGACCTTCCGCGACGCCGAACACCGCCACAACCGTACACACGCCGATGAAGGTTGCGATTCCACCTCTTCCCGACGTCGCAAGATCCAGCTACGGCGCAGGGGAGAGGAATCGAGCAGTCAATGTTTAATGGTTCAGAACACTGAGTTTCTGAAAATGTGCTTACGATGATGAGAGCGAGCGAGCCGAGGAAGAAGAGTGAGTACCCCACCAAGTTGCGCACCCTGGTGTTTACTTTCGCCTCATGGTACGCGAACACCGCAGCTACCACGAGCACGAACGGCTGATAGGTGAGAGTGATGACTCTGACCGGATGGTAGTTCTGAATTTACAAGTGTCAAAAATTAGTTCTGTGTGTGCGTGTGTGTGTGGCATACTCGATGTGGAAGAAGAAAAACATTCATATACCAGTAGAAGTTTGTTATACCGGGAAGAGGTGGACGAAGTAATCTTCGATGGTGAGCATGCTGTTGTACCCGAAGAGGCATCCGTTGCCCAGAAGCCAGCAGATGAAAACGCCCAAACTCTTGCCCTGATCAACGCATGCATATCATATATACTGTGGAGGTGTTTGCAGAAATGAATAGATGCTCGAGGTGATTCAAGGGAGGGAGCAATCAAGCACGGAATTATCTCAGGAGGAAAATGATGATCCATGATGCAACAAACCTCCTGCGTTGTGTGCACCCCGCGATGGTCAACTTCGCCGTACGCCATGCCTGGTTCGCTTTGGTGGCCCTGTGGAACGAGAACAAGGAACACAAATGAGAAAAGAAAGACTTTGGGTCGACGGCTAGCATCGAAAGCGTCGTGAAAGGAAAATACTAATAAGAACCCTAGCTAGCATATACGCTTAGGATAATCAGACGACACAGCTACGCCTCTTTCTCGGTTAGAGTATGTTAGAATTAATCTGAGGCATACTGTCGATTATTCAGGACTAAGCAATCACATGAGGCACGACACCGACATTTGTTAACGAGATTCACCGGTATGGCTACATCCCGGGGTCTGACTAAAAGACGCTCCTCCCCGTGACACTATCACAATACCGCACACCGGCAACTTAGGCGCCGGCACATGCCGTCGGCTGCCCCTGCGTACATGTACTATTATGTTGGCATAAGTTACATCGTGTGTCTAGCCCCACTATATATGAGAGGCCTAGGATACAAGTGTCCTACTAGTACTTGACTCCATATCCTATTTAAACACAATACTACTCAGAGTCCAACTGTAGGCTAGCTTAGAGCATCTCCACTAGTCCCCCAAAGAGGCCCTTTTCTCTCACTTTTGCACCGCCGGCGGAGAAAAAAATCTCCACTCACGCCCCAGGATCACTTTTTTCCGCCGGTTTCCTGCAATTTTAGCGTCGGCAGTCCCGATCGAAACCCAGCCCCCAGGGAGGCATCTGAGAGCGCCAGCGACTTGTTAATGCATGCAAAGGCCCACATGCAGCCTCTCTCCTCTCACTTTTCCCCTGACACGCATGCGTTCTCTCTCTCCTCACGGCTTTTCTTCCAACAACCGCGTGCTCGCCGCGGCTGCTCCGGCGGGTGGGGCCTTCTCCTCGTCCTCGTCGCGCTCCTTGGCTGCCTCCTCGTCCTCTTCCCGGCTCGCTGCTCGTTGCCTGCGCGCCTCTGCGCTGCTTCAACCTCCGCCATCGAGGCCGAGCTGGAGGCCAGGGAGCAGACGGGACGTCCTGGGCGGCGAGCGCGGGGCCGCGGGAGGGCGCGGCCTGGGCGGCGAGCACGGCCGCGGGCGTGGCCTGCGAGCGGGAGGGCGTGGCCTGCGCGCGCGCGGCTACGGACGGGACGGCCTGGGCGGCTGTGGAGAAGACGTGGCTCCTCCTCTCCGTCTCCTCGCTGGCCAACACCGACTTTCCGCTCTCCACGGCCGACCTCCTCCCATTCCTCGTCGCCGCGCGCACCGCCACCGACGTCCCAGCCGACACAAGGCTGGCGTGCCTCTCCGCGCTCCGCAACCTCTCCGCCAAGCTCGAGCATGTCCTGGCCGTGGTCAACAGCGGCGCCATGCGCGCGCTCCTGGCGCTCTCCCTGATGGAGCGGACGGAGACCACGGCAGCGGAGTCGGCCCCCGCTTCTCGCCAACACTGCTCCTGGGGCGCAACGAGTGGACAAATTCCAGCCCCCAGACCAAAGTTCTCGCCGGCAGCCCCCCAGGAGGCGAAAAAATGCCTCCTGGGGGGCTCAACGGCTGGAGATGCTCTTATACACAATATTCGACACAATTCTAACAAACTTCACCTTGGCGAATATTCTCCACCACACCGAATTCGTCCATATGTCAAACTTCCATGTATATTGGATTTGAGCTTATCACATGAGTACCGTTGCTACTCCAAAGAGTGCATGGGACTCCAACTGCAACTTGTAGTTCCTCATTTTCTTGAACACAATCAACGCTCGAGCGAAATTAAGTTCCACATCACTCTAGTTTACGCTCCCAACTTCTTGAGTATCCATTCAACGCCATCGCACACCGATTGCTGACCTACGTGAAAGTGAACAACTCACACATTGGGTGTCACACATAAGAGTTATCTGAACTCAACATCACCGCTCTTCCTTGACCGTCTGTCTGGAACTTGAAAGAATTTCAACGTTGCGTGTAGTCATCTTGAGTCAAATTCACAGTTGTCTCAACACATGTATGACCACCAGAGCCCTGGCTCATCTCCATGTCCCGTGCATACCGCACACCTCGCCGCTATTACCGCGCGGAGCCTCTGATGTCCCGGTCGAGTCTCAAGGGTCGCGAACCCACACCACTCAACCCCACTGCAGAGTATCATCGATCATCGCTGACCGATGACAAGTTTCACGCTTCCATCAAACCACTGGGCTCTAGTCCGATTTACGTGTCACTCGCTTTTCTTCAGCTGAAATAGGCTTCGATTATCTGGATCCTTACACCGCAACCCCTCAATCCAGGTCCACCTTCAACATGACTCCATGGTAGATGATCAGTCCACCCTCGTGTCCCGCCGACTTCAAGCTCTGTGTGCACACCACCTTGAATCAACCCCACGGCATAGTCTTGTCGAAGCCACACAAGCCATCGGGCATGTGCCACATGTTTCCACGCCGATCCCACCACCGTCTTATGTATCAACCGATTTGCGTCGATCCCGTCAGTCTGTCCAGTCCGACCAAGCCAAACCTTGTCCGGCTGCATGACACGCTCGAGGCTCCCAAATCATTTTCTCTGAATTTCCATCCATCATATAATAATTCCATCATAGTTGTCATGACTTCCCGCAACACCTTTAAGCATCCTGTCGCGCCAATAATCTTTCATCCATGTCTGCCATAACCCAAGGTTTCCAGTTTCATTGAATTTCTCCACCTTAAACCCGATGCCCGATGCCATCGTGATTCTTCGTACAATCAACCTTGTGAAAAATAACTGAGCTTCTTTCCACGGTGCCAAAGTACACAAGCAAACCTAACGTGGTCACCTCCCAGTACTAGTAGCAATCCAATCAAAACGCTTTTGATCTTCACGTGTAGTAGCTCTAGCTCAACCTCCAATGATGTTTGTTGCTTTGTCAATGTCCCTGCTAGCTTCAATGGATACGTATCGCTTGATGGATTTTCCTTTTTCGCTCAGAACAATCTGCTACCTTGCGTCGTATACATGAGGACTCGGTCCTCTTTTTTTCAACGAACAAATCTCGTGGAGCATGAATTGAACATGCATGGCAGACTTTTTTTTTGAGGCAAATGCATCGCAGACCTTCCAGGCTTCCACACAGAGTTTGCCAGCTCCTTCCGCGCCTTGTCCACCAGCACAAGACGTGCAGGCACCAGCTAGCCCCGATGGGCCAGCCCACACCGCGAGCACTTCGGCTTCGGCTGCGTTGCCTGCCACGTGTGCCTCCGGATCGCATACTTGCGATCCGCACGCACACACCGCCGCGCGCGCCTGTATCCGCTGATCGATCGCCGCACGTCCCCTGCTGCCGCAACGCGCACGCGATCCTTCTGCATCCGACACCTGCTGCAACTGCTGCTTTCCGATCCCGTCAAGAACTCCTCCAGCTTTCGATTGCCTCGTTTCCAATCTCGTCGGGAACCACGCCGCTGCCGGCTGCAATGTCAGACTTGATACTTCCTCTAGATCAAAATTCATAGCCTCCGAACCACCTAGCTCATAATACCACTTGTTAAAATAAATTTGAAATGCATTATCGTCAATCATCCAAAGACCAAGTAATCATATGAGGCACGACACCGAGATTTGTTAACGAGGTTCACCGGTATTGTTGGGGAACGTAGTAATTTCAAAAAAAATCCTACGCACACGCAAGATCATGGTGATGCATAGCAACGAGAGGGGAGAGTGTGTCCACGTACCCTTGTAGACCGAAAGCGGAAGCGTTAGAACAACGCGGTTGATGTAGTCGTACGTCTTCACGGCCCGACCGATCAAGCACCGAAACTACGGCACCTCCGAGTTCTAGCACACGTTCAGCTCGATGACGTCCCTCGAACTCCGATCCAGCCGAGTGTCGAGGGAGAGTTCCGTCAGCATGACGGCGTGGTGATGATCTTGATGTTCTACCGTCGCAGGGCTTCGCCTAAGCACCGCTACGATATTATTGAGGTGGACTTGGTGGAGGGGGGCACCGCACACGGCTAAGAGATCCAAGGGATCAATTGTTGTTGTGCCTAGAGGTGCCCCCCTGCCCCCGTATATAAAGGAGCAAGGCGGGAGGGGGCGGCCGGCCTAGGAGGGGGCGCGCCAAGGGGAGTCCTACTCCCACCGGGAGTAGGACTCCCTCTTTCCTTGTTGGAGTAGGAGAAGGGGAAAGAGGGGGAGAGGAAGAAGGAAAGGGGGCTGCGCCCCTTGTCCAATTCGGACCAGAGAGGGGCGCAGGCCTCCTTATTTTTGGCCTCTCTCCTCTATTCCCGTATGGCCCAATAAGGCCCATATACTCCCCGACGAATTCCCGTAACTCTCAGGTACTCCAAAAAATACCCGAATCATTCGGAACCTTTCCGAAGTCTGAATATAGTCGTCCAATATATCGATCTTTATGTCTCGACCATTTCGAGACTCCTCGTCATGTCCCCGATCTCATCCGGGACTCCGAACTCCTTCGGTACATCAAAACTCATAAACTCATAATATAACTGTCATCGAAACCTTAAGCGTGCGGACCCTACGGGTTCGAGAACAATGTAGACATGATCGAGACACGTTTCCGGTCAATAACCAATAGCGGAACCTGGATGCTCATATTGGCTCCCACATATTCTACGAAGATCTTTATCGGTCAAACCGCATAACAACATACGTTGTTCCCTTTGTCATCGGTATGTTACTTGCCCGAGATTCGATCGTCGGTATCCAATACCTAGTTCAATCTCGTTACCGGCAAGTCTTTTTACTCGTTACGTAATGCATCATTCCGTAACTAACTCATTAGTTACATTGCTTGCAAGGCTTATAGTGATGTGCATTACCGAGAGGGCCCAGAGATACCTCTCCGACTATCAGAGTGACAAATCCTAATCTCGAAATGCGCCAACCCAACATTTACCTTCGGAGACACCTGTATAGCTCCTTTATAATCACCTAGTTACGTTGTGACGTTTGGTAGCATACAAAGTGTTCCTCCGGTAAATGAGAGTTGCATAATCTCGTAGTCATAGGAACATGTATAAGTCATGAAGAAAGCAATAGCAACA